GAGGTGTTATCTGCCAGCAGAGGGCTTTGTCACTGTGCAGGGCAGTCAGGTGGCTCGAAGACCCCTGCATCTCTGCGTCCTGCCATTACATTCAAGTTCCAACAGTGCCACGGCCAGGGAATGGGTAGCACTGTGGCAACACAGAGCAGAAGTGTGCCAGTGTTCTTCCTACCCAGACACGTCCTCTGTGGACTGAATCCCCAGCTGCCCCTGGGGACCTGTGGATTCAGACACATTTTTAGATGAATCCCCACATCCTCCTGGGAAACTCAAGAATGAGCAACTCAAATCCAGACCTGCCATCTGAAGGCCGGGGATCTGAACACAGCAGCCAGATGGACTTCGTGGGGCAAGGCTGAGGACAGGGCGATGTGGCCTGGACCAAGGTGCAGTAGGACGTGGTGGCATTGGGTGTCTGAAAAGCAGATTGGACCTTCACCTGCCCATTTATGTCAGCTTTGCCAGCAATAAGTAAATTGGCAGACCTTTGTCCTCTCACGGAGGCCAAAATGGGGAAACACACACACACACACACACACACACACGCACGCACGCACGCACGCATATACACACAATGCACACGGCTCCTGCTTTCTGAGCTCTTCGTCCACAGAGTCCCTCTTCTCTCCTGGCAGCTGTCGTCTTTGGAGCCTGAAGCTCATGCACACCCTAGCTGTGATAAACACTACAAACACCACGTCACTCAGCCTCTCCTGAGTGCACCCTGCTACACTCGCCTACCCCATCTGACAGTTGGGTGAATTTGATCTGTGAGACAGCAGCAGGCTAGAGCCAGGGAGACATGGAGAGGGAGAGCTTGTCCTGCTCCTTAGCAGGGGAGCCAGGGTCGGGGACGTCTGGGGCCCCTACGGACCGACCTTCATGTCCTTCTCTACCTGCAACTTCCCCACCTTGGGAGCACATTTGAGTCAGCAGACCGAGTCTCACGCAGAGCCAGCATTACCTCTGGATTTCTCACTGACCCAAAGCAATGAATTCTCTCCCTGTCACAGCGGATCAGAAGGGATTTTCTGACACATTCGATGGAAGTAATCCCCGTTACAGATAGTGCTGTCTGCTCTTCCCCCAGGTATCTCTGGCTTTCTCTGGGCCTGACCCTTTGGTACCAGGCAACCTGGAGATTGCTTCTGAGCGATGTGTAGAGCCGTGTGTTGACGGGGCAAGAGTTTGAGGAAGAGGAGTCAAAAAGAGACAGGCGGCTGTCTCCAGAGCCCTGAAGACTGGGAGGGGAGACTGAATCACTCTGAACCTCTACAGAGCATGCTCAGTGGGCCAGGCAGCCCTAAAGGTGGTGCGATGTCCTGGTTCCCCACAGGCACAAAGCTGCTGCTCCCCTGAAGCTCACATCCTAGAGAGGTGCGCAGATGGGGAGACAGAAAATTGGCAAATGAGTGGGTGACAAGAAAAGTACTTGCACAGAATCACAAGCTGGAGTGGTTTCTGCTCTAGTCAAGTACAGAAGGCTACTATGTCTCCCGGTGTCATTACCTAACTTACCCTAAAGCTGACTGTGCTAATACCCAGGGATTTCAGAACTGAGCTATGGAGCTCCAGTTTGGCCTTCAGTCCAAGACAGCAGTGCAGAGCCTCACAAATGGAAGTGATCTTGAAGCCACAGCTGAGAGGAGAGAGACAAACCTGCAGCCTGGCCCCCAGCAAGCAGGCCTCCTGCTAAAGCAAGTGAAAAATCAGTATTCAAATAGGATTTGAACAAGAATCCTGTCCCATGACACATTATTTGTTAAGGTCTGGATACAAGCCAAAGTTACTGAATCTTTTGGAGCTGAACGAGAATCTCAGTATCTCCAAAGGGAAAAGACAAAAAGAAAATCAAGAGGTAGCAGCTCCAAGAGGATACAACAGTTGATATTGAGACACAAAAGCAGCTATTATAGGCAGCTCCAGAAAAGAAAGGGCAAACTCCTGAGCGATGAACAGAGAGACAGACCACCTCGGAGCGGGAGCAGATGAATCACACGCAGAGCCAAGCTGAGATTTTAGAGGCAGGAAATGTGTAACAGCCAAAATGACAGTACAGATCTGGCTCAGCCGCACGGCTCTGCCTGGCAAGCACAGGGTCCTGGTTCGATCCCCGTACCAAGCAAATAAAAAAATAACCGAAATGACAAAATCCAGTGGCAAACCCAATACCTCAGTAGACTCAATAACAATGTAAATGGCAGATCAATATAAACGGCCCAGTCTGAACAACAGAAAGGAAAGAGATTTAAACAATGAAGAAACGAGCTCAGGACTCTGTGGTACAATACTAAGGAGCTAACGTTCCTGTCAGGAAGGAGGAAAGAGTACAGTTAGAGAACATTTTGGTCAGAAATAAATGGTTAAAACTCCCCATGTTTGGTGAAAGACACAGGTGAAGATTCAAAAAGCTCAGTTACCAAACAAGATAAGGTCAGGAATTGTCATAACCAAACTACTAAAGCTAAAGACAGAGAGAGAACTTTTGGTGTGGTGTGGTGTGTGGTGTGTCTGTGTGTGGTTACTGGAGACTGAACCCAGGGCCTTCACACTGAGCTATAGCCCAGCCTTTTAAAATTTTTTTTTAATCTAAACACAGGGCCTCGAAACACCAGGCATGGTGGCGAATGCCTCTAATCTCAGCACTTGGGAGGCTGACCCAGGAGGATCTCTGGTGAGTTTAAAGCCAGTCTGATCTACAAAGTGAGCTCAAGGCCAGCCTGAAGGTTGCATTTTAAAAAATAAAAAAAATAAATAACTAAACAAATAAAGACAGGGTTTCACTAAGTCACTAAGTTGTCAACACCAGGCTCAGATTTAATGACCTTCCTGCTTTAGCCTTCCTGAGTGTTGGGGTTACAGACATATCCCGCCACGCCCAGCTCTGACTGCAGATTTCTCATCAGAAATCATGAAGTGGAACGATATTTTTAAAGTGCTACAAGAAAAAAAATAAAGCCCAGCCAAAAATTCCATCTTCCATAAAGGTATTGTTTAGGAATAAAGGTGAATGAAAGATGTCCTCAGGTGGAGAAAAACTGAAGGACGTCATTGCCAGCAAAGTGACTCTAACAGCAATCCCATAGGACGCTCCTGGGCAGAGGGAAATACACTGGAAGGAAGCCGGGGGCATTGCTGTGACAGGGGAGTGCTCTGTGGATCACTACACCAGACTTCTCCGTCCGAAGTTCCCTCCAGTACAAGGGTTGAGAGTGAAAACTGTGGCATTTCTGAGGACCTTTTGATTTGTGTACCTCTGACATGATGACAAATGCATTAACAGGCGCTGGCATGGGGTTAAGATCTTTATGCTCAACTCAAAGTGGCAAATACCAACTCTGGGTAGCCTGGAAAGTTCTCAGAACCAGCCTGGCATCTAGCAAGAGCTGCCTGAGGATTGCCAAAGAAACCACCTTAAACGCGGGTTGGCGTTTCTGTCAAAGGCGGGCCTCGGCAGTGCGGTGCATGTGGAGTGACACGCATGTCCCCTGCATGTTGTGAGACTGCACGATTAGCGTGCTATTGTGGCAGAGGCTGAGATTTAGTCTTTGTTTTTCCATAGCCAAACGCTGAATGAAAGAGGATTTGAATGGAACGCTAAAAATGGCCAAAACACCCAAAAGAACTCAGGAAAGGGGGCTGGGGGTTTAGCTCAGTGGCATAAGCGCCTGCCTTGCAAACAGGCAGTCGTGAGTTTGATCCCCGGTACCGATAAAAACGAAAAAGACCAGAAAAAAAAAAAAGAACCCAGGAAAGGCACTATAGACTAAATACAAATGCATAAAAAATAAAATGGTAGATGTACTCAAATAATATCAGTAATACTAAATGTAAGTGGTCTAAAGTCATCGATGAGAGGTAGCAAACTTTAGAACTACAGCAGAGCCATAAAAACTCATAAACACAGCTGGGCAGGGTGCCGCACTCCTGTAATTCCAGCACTGGGGAGGCTGAGGTGGGAGGACAGCTGTGAGGTCAAGGCCAGCCTGAACTGCATAGTGGACTCTGTCTCCAAAAAAAAAAAGTCATAATTTTAAAGGTAAACGAAAAAGATAGTGAAACATTGACACCACCCCCCCAAAATGTGAATTTGGGAGGAGGACCAGGAAAATGAAGGCTAGGGGTTGGAAGCTGGAGACAAGTTGTCTCAGTCTCTGGGACCTGTTTTTGTGGGGAAAGCAGGGCTCACCGTGGGGTCCCAGCGTCGGGTACCAGGGCCCGAGCAGCCATGGCTCTTGGGATCCTTGGGGTAAATTCCCTCATGAAATACGACAGATGACTGGAAGGCAAAATCACTGACTAATCATTGTCACTAGGGAATTAAGGCCAGGAAATGAGACATAAATGCATGTGGGATATTTGAAATGCATTAAGTGATATGTGGGTGTCCAGAATAGCAGCAGCAATAGCACTAGGATATGGACCATCTACTCACCTACCACCCAGGGACACACCAAGGAACGCTGGAGAGTCTGGCCTCTTCTCTCTGCTCTGCAAACCCCATTCAAAAACACACAGTTTGCAGGGAAAAAGGCTGAGAACCAAGAGCTCAAACCCATGATTACTCTGAGATGCGCCATGTGAAACTTGAAAACAGGAGGGTAACACTGTATGAACAAAGGGTCTGACACAGCAGGCAAAGCTGAGCTTGTCAGTGTCCCACCCCCAACTGTGCTGGGGGCGCCTCCCCGCCCTGGTCTAACCAGGCCCAATCTTCAGCAGGACCCCATCTTCTCTTGCCTCATGCCCAGCTACACTTATGTCATCCAGCTTTCTGTCCGGTGATTTCCATAGCGACACTACCTTCAGAGAACCTGCCTGGAGCAGGAAGCAAAACAGCTGTGCCTGAGACAGGGATTTAGCTCAGTGTCATGAGTGCCTGCCTGGCAAGCATGAGGTTATGAGTTCGATGTCTGGTAACACACACACACACACACACACACACACTCCAGCCGCACTTAACTTTTAAGAAAATCTTGGCCTATTCAAAGAACTCTTCATTGGCAGTGAAAAATGATTCAGAACTTTATTGAAAGAAAGCAATAAATAATACTGTGATTAAAATAGTTCAAAAGTATATATATGTATATGACTGTATACTTTGTTACATACTCAGAAAATTCCACAAAAATTAATAGAAAAAGGGCAGTAATATGGATTGTATAAGTGAATTGTATGCATAAACCAAATTATTTTTTTTGCTTTTTTTTTTTTTTTTTTTGTCTTTTTCGTTTTTATCGGTACCAGGGATCGAACTCACGACGGCCTGCTTGCAAGGCAGGCGCTTATGCCGCTGAGCTAAATCCCCAGCCCCTGCATAAACTAAATTAAAAAGGCATGCTGCCTCTACCCATGTATCAGTTGCACAATAAATAACATGCACCCTGATCTGACTCCTTCCTTGCTGGCTTTTTAATATGCCAGTGAAAAGCAAGTTGCTTTTGCTACTTGTTCAATCCAAAATGGCTATGTCATCAAAATCTAAAAATGTATGACTAGTTGAAACATGTTTATAAACCAATGTAAAAAGGTGACTGACATATGAAAAATAAGGCCTTGATTAGTTAGAGTTGTACAACTTTATTTTCAGGGTTTCCTGCTCTCATCTGCTCATGCACCAATGTCTGTGAGATGTGAGCACAGTGCTCAGTGATTGGTCCTCTAAGAATAGCTGGAGGCACCTTCCACATGCTCACAGGAAAGAGGCAGGGAAGGTGCCAGGCTGGGGTCCACCCCTGGCCACTCCAGCCCTGCTGAGAGCAGCTCCAAGCTCATGGCTTCTGGTCAAGTCTCTGAAGACAAGCTCCCCAAGTCCAGAGACAGGATGGGGAAAAGGGAACCAGTGCTAAGAAAGTTCTATAGTGCTCTGGTGCAACGGTTCAGTCCCGACTTTATTAGACTCTGATTTCTTGCTAAAAAAAGAACAGTTAAGGTCAGTCAACCTCAAAATATGACAACTGCTTGGAATGAAGTCTCCTGATTTTAAAATGACTGATGTAGAGCAAGGTGAAGGATAATGCACATTGCTTATGTCACAACAATTTTATAAATGTAGTAAACTGGGCTGGGGATTTAGCTCAGTGGCATAAGCACCTGCCTTGCAAGCAGGCAGTCCTGAGTTTGATCCCTAGTGCCGATAAAAACAAAAAAGACAAAAAAAGGGGCTGGGGATTTAGCTCAGCGGCATAAGCACCTGCCTTGGAAGCAGGCAGTCGTGAGTTCGATCCCTGGTACCAATAAAAAGGAAAAAGACCAAAAAAAAAAAAAAAAAAAAAGTAACAAAAAAGACAAAAAAAAGTGTAGTAAACTAATTTTTTCAGGGATGGCTTATCATTAAAAAGTTAAATAGTAATAATTACAATATGTGCACAATTTACAAAAGCCATGTATTTGTTCATAGGGTTTATACATACAAGCACTACAGTACATTCATTTGAAAGACTAAAATTAGATATAAGAACATGAATTGCTTCCAGAGATATCTAAACATAGATGAAAAAGTAAGTAACTATATAAATGAAAAGTCCTAAGTTTACAAAAATAGAAGAAACATTAAATTCTAAAATATTTTCTCTATGTTATTGATGAATTTTTTATTAATTAAAAACTCTGTTATAAAATATCCATATAACAAGTATTAACAGATAGCGATTCGACTGAATTAAAAAATGTAGTCTCTGTTGGATTCCAAATGCTGCACATCATCTGTAGAAGTAGTGCAGGAAAACTGGAAGATAAAAACAAACAGAAAGCCTCTCTTAACACAAACCACCTGGAAAAGGACCATGACTTCAGACACACACGCTGGGGCCCACTTCCCCAGGCCTCCTGCCTCCTCCCTGCTGGAGCGTCAGCAGGCAGAACACTGAGGACCCTGCTCATGGACTAGAGAGGTTTTACATTTTGTGACAGTTTTAAAAGTTAAAGTTAAAAGACTATGGAGCCCATCCCAGATTCCAGCTGAGGCACTGAACACAAGCACAGTAGGCAGAGCTCCAGCTGGGGTTCTGATCACGGGTCAATGACACCTCTGCCATCAGTCAGTCAGAGCTCTAGACCATGAGGACACAAGTGGCTCACTGGCGCCCAGGCATGGCAATGCAGCTTTGTGTTTAAAATGTCTGCCATGTATGGTGGCACGTCTGCAATCCCGTATGTCAGAAGGCTGAGGCAGAAAGATTGCAAGTTTGAACAAGGACTAGATGATCTAGGAAGACCCTGTCCCCACTAAAAAGGGGATGGGGTGCTAGGGATATAGCACAGTGGGAACACTCTGGGTTCAATTCCCCATATATGTGTGCGTACATGTGTGTTTGTAACAAAGCCAGTATAGGAGCTGTGTACCACTGTGTATAAACACAGTGGAAGAGATGCTTCCCAATCTCAGGCTCTGGCCTCCTGGTGTGGTCAGCTTTTGGGGTGCTTTTTTCCTCAGTTGCTGCTTTCCTGCCCACCCCCCAACAATGGCATCAGCAGATCATCACTTCAAGTGAGTAGGCATTTTTAGCTTTTAGGAAAAAATGGGGACGAACGTGTTTTTCTTTAAAACTGGAGACACAAGGGACACAGGAGAGGGGAGGTAAAAAGATTTAAGATGTCCTAGTACAGGTACCAACTCTCCATGATGAATTTAAGTACAACTAACTTACTAATAAAAATAAAAGTTAATAGAACAAAAATGACACACAGCCCTCTTTATGGTCAGCTAAAAACCAAAATCGCCTTGATGGGTACAGAGCTACTATTTCTGTCATTTTGAAGTTCCCCATGTAAATTGGCATGGTCTAAACCCACACTGTTAGCCCTGTTACAGCTTCACCCTGCTGTACAGGGATGATCTCCAGGGATTACGCTGCTCTCTACTCACCAACAGGAGGCTTAACGGGAGGAAGTCCTGGTTGTCGCAGAATCCAACTTCTGTGTTTCTGATACACTGCCTGTTCCAACAACCATGAGAGGAAGTGTGCAAAAACAAAGTGCTGTTAGTTTTAACACTTCACACGGGGCACAGGTAAGACACACATCTCCACACCTACAATGGTGTCTACTGAGGAATCCTAAGACTGCCTGGGAGAGTGAGGCAAGAGCATCAGAGGGCTGCCCAGAGTGGTTCTGTCACCACCCAAGGGGACACTGGCACCTAAAATAGCAATAGGGCCCCTTGGAAGTGCAAACCACCTCAGTGTGCACATACAGAGAGGACAACCACCTAACATAGCTACTCTGCAGCTCCTTAAGCCACACTTTGATATAGCAACTGGACTTTTCCTTGTGCCCTACAGCTAGACCTCCAGGAATGAATGGGGTGAATCAGCAGCACGAAGGGGAGGAGGGAACCCCAGCTGCTCTGCAGGCACTGCTCTCAGGGTGGGTTGCAGGCAAAGAGGCACAGCCCAGAGGCCATGGCCAGTGCTTCTCAGAGGACTAAAGCTTGTCTTAGTTTCTACAAAAAAGGATGGAGAACACGGAGGCAGGGGTCCTTGTTTGACAAACACTGGGTGGCTAAACAGGCAGTACAGCCCTGTCACAAACTGGGTAAAGAGCTTGCAACATCTTCGGCAGATATTTACACTCCCAGTTGTACAGTGTTTTGTTTTCCTGCAAGTATACCAGGAATACTTCTTAGCAACATCTTGCCATAGCTCTAGAAAAGACAGATAGCTGGCCGTGTTGGTAAGACTGGGCAGTCATTGTAAACCTTCATTCTAAAGTCTAGGAGACATGCTGTAATTTATCTTATACTCTCCACCTCGCAAGTCATTTGTAACAGTCCACCTTCTTACCAATGTGGCATAGACATCTTCTATGTAATTTACCCTGACAACTTTTTCTATTCAATCCATTTAAATTTAGTGTTACACAGTTTGCCTGCACATGCCTGTAATCCTAGCACTCTGGGAGGTTGAGGCAGGAAAACTCCAAGTTCAAACCAGGCCTGGACAATTTAACAAGACCCTTTCTGGATAATAAAAGAAGGGGTGGTGTGTAGTACAGGTAGAAGGCTCCCTCCCCAGTACCACCCCAAACCCCCAAACAACAACCACAACCACAAAAATGCCACCAAAAAAACAAATCAACAACAAACAAACTCATTAATACTACCCTTTATTTTTGTTTTGTTTTGTTGAAACAAGGTCTCCCTGTGTAGTTCACACTGGCCCTACAATCCCTGTGAATTCGAGGCTGGTACTGAGCTCTCAGCAACCTTCCTGCCTTAGCTTCCCCAGTGCCGGGATTACAGGTGATCTCCACACCCAGCTATGTTAATATTGCTTGCAATGTTCAGAGAGAAAATGTGATTCTTATAGTGAAACAGAAATTGAAGGTACAGGGAAAACAACAGAGTACTCATTTAGACTATTTAGTAAGCCAATGGAAATTAAGCTCAAGGCCCGTCACAGCTTACTTACTTATCTATTTTATTTATGATACAAGGTCTTCCTATGAAGCTCAGTATAGCCTTAACCTGGATTTATGATTCACATACATCTCAGATTCATGATTTTCCTGCCTGAGCCTCCCAAGTACTGGAATTACAGGCATGCACTTCCATGCCTTGCCAACATTTGTAAGACACCTTGAGGGAGAAAGTGTTAATTCTTAAGAACTTACTAGTTAAAAGACACACTGGAAAGTGTTCAGCTTTAAAAAGTTTATATAAATGTATTTTTCTCTGATTTTCATACAGGCAAGAAAGAGAAAAAAGGAAAACTACCTACACAGGGGGCTAACAACAGGAAACTTGTAAAAACCCCACTGGTACAGTTTATACAGCACAACCATGTACATCAGGAATGAGAAGGAATGAAGTCTCCACCTAACACTGAGATTGTCAGCAATGCACGAGGCTCAGGACTCCATCAGCTTCACCCACATGACACATTGAAGCATCAAAATCACATTACTATGATGCCCAAGTTACAGATATGGAAACTGAGGCACAGCACAGCTGCATGACTTGCTCAAGGTCATGTCCCTGCTACCACAAGAGCTGGATGTGGACGTGGGCTCTCTCAGGACCCTATCAGTGCCTTTTACTAGGTGGGCAGGACTGTCAGGGACTCAAGGTCTCCTCTCAGCCAACTGCACTCTTCAGTCAGCAGTTACATAAGGGCCATCCTGACTGCACTGGAAAGGTCAATGCCTTGCCATCTCTCACTGAGAAGGCAGCAGGGCTGCCCTAGCGGTCTCCACAAGGCTTCTGCCTTCTTCCCTGTCCCTCTTCAGGTGGCACAAGGTAAGTATATGGAAAGATAACACTGGAGGGAAGGGAAAAGGAAAGACAGAGTTGGCAGAACCTGGAAGTTGTGAGCTAAAGTTTACTCTGCCATTTCTTCTAGTGTGGAGAGAAGTCCCAAGTGTCACACTGCAATTTTCCTGGCAAGCCAGTGCTGCCTGCCACACACTGCACCCCACAGGTGCATCAGCCTCAGCCCTGAGAGCACAGATGGGTGCTTCACTTTATTAGTTGGGCAAGGATGCTAAGGTTCAACCAGACAGATTTTTTAAAAATTCTATTATTGTTGTTAACCATTTTCCAACAAATGTTAGGGCTAATCCTGAACCATTGACACCTGGGCATGCAACCAAACTCAGATGCTTTGTAACACATACAATGGCCACTCTAGGTAATTATTAGCGCGCACATGCTCCCAGCCAGTGTTGCATTACATGGCCCACCACATACCATCCATCTGGATCTCATTGGGCTGCACAGAGCGGGAAGACTTGGAAGAAGAGACTCGGAAGTTTGCAGGGAGTGTCTCTGATGACCCAGTTGCCACACCGTGAATGGCCTTTTCTCTAACCTTCTCTCTCCATGAAGGTGCTCTCCTAAAGTGTTTGTCATCCTCCTGGCAAATGAAAACACAGAACAGGCACACTCTAATAAAGATAACTGTCCTTCAGAAGGACTCCTAAGCCCCTGACTGTTTTGCTTTACTTAGCCTTTCCTGGTGACCTTCCAATGTGCTGCACACACTGGAACTTCAGTGTGAGAGGAAACATGATTACATTCCTGCTGGGCCCCAACTGGAGAAACGAGGGCAGTCCTGGGCACCAGGGATGTGATTTTCTCACCCATCAGAATATTTTATTTCTTACTGTGGACAAGCTCTTGCCTGCTATATAATGTACTTTTATTTATTTTCAAAATATCCTGGCTACAAATAATCCAACAAATGCTTTGCTTCCAGATTCAGCTTCCATCTTCTTTGTGAAAATCAAGTACTCTTGGAGCTCACTGAAGACAATCGTAATGTATGGCAACAGGTTAGTTATGATTTAGCATGAGGGGAAATTTAATATACTTTTGAAAGAAGCCTTCCAAACAGAAGAACTGGGGCAGGACAGTCAGCTGTCACCAAAACACAACTTAAGACTTTGATCGCAGGCTGCAATCTGTTTGACAATATAGAAATAATTTTTGAAGGTTGCCAAAAATTAAGTAGTGGACCAAGAGCAAGGATCAGTAGTAGAGCACTCAACTGGCATATGTGAAGCCCTGAGGTTGATTCCTAGCAGTGAGAGGAGAAAAAAGCTGAAAACTTACGACATCAAAACGTCTGACAGTCCCAAGGACCAAAAGGTCGGCAAATTCTTTGTCCAAGACATTTCGAGCCTGAAGTAACAAAACAACAACTAAATATATCTGAAGGATGTTACACATTACAATTTTTTAAAACAAAGACTTCAAAGACTCACATGCTTGCAACACAAACTGGAAAGAAAAGATAGTGAAAAATCAAGCACTTGCTTATTTTGAACTACCATATTATAGATTAGTTATGGAAAGTGATTACTAGTTGTCTAGAGTTAAATTTTCTCTCCATTCAAATGAAAAATAAGTATTCTAGAACCACAGAAAAACCGAACACTGTGGCTAAGCAGACAGAGGCACAGACTCCGTTGTCACCTTTCTGTTCTCTGTCGGGATCTGTAACAACAGGGCCAATGTGTTGTAATCGAAGGCTTCATCTAAGGCCAGCTGTGCGCCATGAACCCCACTCTCTATGAGGTTGTTTGCATATTCTTTAAGGCCAATGGATATGACCCAGCGAATCACTCGATCATTGCTCCAAACAAGCACATCTGTGAAAGAACAAAACAACTGTAAATGTGGCTTCAGAAAACCTCTTCATCATACATGTCCTGCAATGCAGGGGAAAGATTCCTAGCATGGATCTTGATCCCTCAGCTCCTGAAAATGGACTCCACACTCACAAATACTGACAGACACACACCTAGACACAGCTGTTTTGGTTCTGCCTCATTCTAATAAAAACTTTCCCTTTAGAAGCCTCCCCTAGTGCACTCAGGTGTCACAGTAAGATTGTGGATAGGATATATTCAGGGAACAATACAGCATGATTGGCTGAGGATGTAGCTTGGTGGCAGATCACTTGCCTAGTATGTACAAGGCCTGGGGTTCAATCCTAAGACTGCAAAAACATCAGGCTGAGGGTCAGAGTCAGACCTGGCACGTATAAGCATGTTTCCTACACAGACCCCAGAGTCTCCTGAAATGCTTCTCCATCATGAAAGGGGCAGATACCATGACAGTTCAGATACCTTGCTGAGTTCAACACAAACTCTTTGCTTCTGACCTTCTGACCTTCGTTTTCTTTTACTTTTTCTTGTTGTTGTACTGGGAATCAAACTCAGAGCCTTGTGCTTACCAGGTAGGTGCTAAGCCACTGAGCCATACCCCAGCCCCTGTGCTTCTGAAGCTTTGGTCATATCAACATCTTAATATATTACAAAGAAAGAATTTTAAAGACATTCCAGCATACTAGATTTTGGCAATCGTATGTCATACAAAGATAATTATTAAATGTATTCTATTACAGACCAAAAAATTGCCACTCTGTAAAAATATATCTGACCACCAATCTTTTCAAAGACTGCTTTTGCCAACTGACAAAATATGGAGAGGGGATATAGAAAACAAATTAAATGGATTAATACATTTCATGTCTGATTTTTTTTTCTCAACTTTGTTTTGGTACCAGGGATCAAACTCATGACCTTGCACTTGCCAGACAGCCGCTCTGTTGTTGAGCTATATCCCCGGCCATGACTTTCTTTTCTAAATAGACCTCAACGTATTCTTTGTTTTAAAAGAATTAAAACCCAGGCCTTGCACAGACTAGGCAAGTGTCCTACCACAGGGCTACATCCCTGGCCAATAGATAATCCTTTATTTTATTTAGAAAAAGACATCAGAATGAGGATGAAAATAACAGAACCACGATGCAGCCTGAATGAATCAACTATGGAAGACTTGACACAGTGCTTGATCATTATTCAGTAAGTCTCATTTCTTCTCATCACTGCAGTGCTATTAGTAACTACCGAGAATTCTGAGAGACTCTCGTGAGCATGACATTCAGTGTTGTCTTCAGAGAAGATGCCTGTCCCTGTCATACTGAGGGGGCTGCCATGCCCTCTCCTTCCTCCTGGCCTGTTTCTGACATGTCTTTCCTTTGCCCACAGGACACTCTGTGGTTTCTGTAAGGACTGCAATCCCAGTTAGTATGGGTGCTGTGGCAGGAGGGTCACAGGTGTAATCCCAGACCAGGGTACTTAGTGAAATTCTGTCTCAAAATAAATAAATAAATTACAAAATTATGGGTGCTAGGCTATTGGTTGCCTTGACCTCTCCCTCCCTCTGGGAGCAGAACTGTGTGCCCTGCATGCTGCCACAGGCCTTAGAAAAAGCTCCCAAAGCTGTAGTTTTAACCTCTATCCAGTAAGCAAAAGGCAGTGGCTTGTTTGCCTTGCTCTGATCTAATAGCATAAGGCAGCATCTCTGAGAGAGCGTATACAGTGTACAACAACAAAAGGAAAACTACATGAAAGAATGCCAGCACCAAGAGGGTAGCCTACAGACTGAGATAAGCACACACTGTCTCAGGGCACCCCTTTTCATCCCTCCTCTTGTTATCATGCCAAGCCAGTTGTTTCCACTTAAAAGTCTTCCCTGATTTATTTTTTTGTGGTACTAGAGACAGAAGCCAGAGCCCTGAGCATGCTAGGCAAGTCTTTTTTCACTGAACTACATTCTTAGCACCCCTAATTTTCAAATCTAGTTTTAGTGTTCTGAGACAGGGTCTCACTAAATTGCCAGGTCGGCCCTGAATTTGTGATCTTCCTGCCTTAGTATTCTTAGTAGCTGGAACTGTAATTTGTGTAATTCCCAGATAAATGTATGATTATTTTGTGCTTTTTTTTTTTTTCAGTCCTAGCGATCAAACCCAGGGCAATGCAAGTGGTAAGCAAGTGCCTTATCACTAAGCCCTTGATTTCTTTTTGAGGTACTCAGGAATAAACACAGGGATTTGCACTGAGCTGCATCTCTAGCCCTGTTATACTTTTCATTTTGAGAGAAGGTTTCACGGAGTCCAAGCTGCCTGGGCTAGGCTTGTGACTCTGCTGCTATGTCCTCCCAGAGTGCTAGGATTGCAGGTATGTGCCAGCTCAGCTGGCTGCTATACTTTTTCAAACAGGCAATCACCCAGGCTGCCTGGGAGGCAGCAGGCATGTGCTGCATCCATCCGGCATAATGTACTTGCCTTTAACTACATCCTGACTTTCTTCTCTTCTTCTTTCCAGTTCTTTCCGATCATAATTTAACCTTTTCAGGCACATAAGTCCACACTGGAAGCTGTTCCTATTTACAAAATAAGGGGTTATTTAACGGTGGCAATGTGAAGTCTCTTGATCCGTTAGGAAGAACCACTTGCACTGCCTCACCTGTGAAAACTGTCAACCATTTTCAGCCGCCCCCGCAGGTCTTTCTTGGTCAGGTGGTTCAGCATCCGAGCATCCACAAGGCACTCCATGAAATAGCTTCGGTACTGAGGTAGGCCCAGGCTGGGCAGCCACTCATTGCCAATCCACTCGTGGTCCATGTCCCCATATGCAAGTGTCTGATTTCAACAAATGAGTGACATCAGTTCAGATTTTTAATCTAGACAACATTCTTAAAGGCTAAATGAATGACAACATTGCTTTTCATAATTTCTAAATATTTGGTCTCCCATTCCTACCTTTTCAAATTCCTAAAGTTTTATCCAACAGAAATCATATTGGCAAAATTTTATGACTCATTTAGGACAATTTACCAAGCTATAGAAAAATCATACCTGTCTATAAATTCCTTTTCTGAATTAGTTTTCAATATAATAATATAGGAATAAAGAATGATCATGACTCATGAACAAGTTTGAAGAATCAATTCAAATCATTCAAATGAGCTCTAGCTGGTTTTGATTTTATTTTTAATACTTTGTCTTCCTAAATGACAAGTGTATTTGAAAATCAGGAAAAGTAAATTTAAAATGATAAACGAACAACTAATGAGACTAAGAACAAAAACAGAAAAATACAATTAAATTTAGAAGACTTCAACACTCCTCTCTTAACAACTGGTTCAATGTGCCAATCAAAAAACCAAAAAGGACTAAGAAAAGGAAAACAATCAGGAAGGCTACGGACAAAAACAATACTGTCAATCAATCTGACCCAGATATAACTTACACTTTTTCCTTTCTTTTTTTTTTGGGGGGGGGGTACTGGGAATTGAACTCAGGACCTCATGCTTGCAAGGCAGGTGCTGCACCACTGAGCTAAATCCCCAGCCCCTCCCCACAACCTTTAAAGACAGAGATTCCCATTATATTACCAGGATTGAGTGCAGTGGCTATGCACAAGCACTCCCTATGCAAAGAGATATTGATGCCACTCTTAGTATGATGTCCATCTTAGTTTAATGCCCAATTGTCATAGGACATTATAACAGCCAACTTCTGGGCTCAGTCTCTTGAGTTTTGGCAACTACAGGGGTGCATCATCACATCTGGCTTCAGGACGTACTTTTTTGTGGTGTGGTATGGTGGTGCATGCCTGTAAACCCAGCACTCAGGAGGCTGAGACAAAAGTATTTCGAGTTTGGGACTAGTCTGCACTACACCAAAAATAAGGAATCATGGTAAGTAGGTTTACTGACTCAGGAATAGGTTGGTTCACCAACTGAGGAGGAAAAAAAAAATCAATGAAATTTGCCCAATTACGAGATCAGCAAAGAAAGCCATGTCTCATAATACCTTATGTGGCACAAGATCCATCATTCAGTTATGAAACTCAGCATTCTAGGACGAAAGACCCACCGCCTCAATCTATTAAGGGTCATCTACCAAAAGCCTGCAGCTAAAAACCTCACAATGAGGGACCAAATGTCTCCCTGAACGGAAAGAAGCACAAGGGGTGTCCACTGTCACCGTTTATGTTTGGCTGTGCTGGAGACCTGGCCACTGTAATGGCAGGAAAAACATAAAAATGGCATGAGTTGAGAAAGACATAAACCTCTCTTTATTAGTAAATGACACGATTATCATTGTTGAAAAAGTCTATGAAATAGCTATTAGGATTTATACATGAATTTAGCAAAGCTGCTGAATATACAATGAATACACAAAAATTAACATTTCTAAATATACAAAATGAACTGGAAATTGAGATTTTAGAAGTATCTTATATAATGGCACTAAACTGCATAAAATCCTTAGCAACCAATTCAACAGAATATGTCCAAGGTCTGTACAATGAAAAATAGACATGATATACAACCACTTCACAGAGAATGGTTCGTTATGCTCTCCAGCTAAGGAAGATTAAATTACATTCACAGGAATCCTAAGGTACATTGAGGAATCCTTTAAAATAAAAACTATCCATTCCCATCCATCCTCTCCTGGCTTGAACTCAGGGTTTCATACCTGCTAGGCAAGCACTCTAACCTGAGCTACATCCCCAACCCCTTACAACAGGGTCTCACTAGGCCCAGGCTGGTCTCTAAGTTGATATCTTCCAGCCTCAGCCTCTTGAGTTATGGGATTACAGTCATAAACCACCATGCATGGCCTCCATGTTTGGTTTAGAACAATGGATTCCACTCTAGTATTTTATTTGTTCCAGTCAAGATACAAGGGATGGCTCAGCTAAGAGGAATGTTCCAATTCTAACAGAAAAGATTTCATAACTTTCTTTAAATGATGAGTGACAAATATACCACTATGGTAACCATTAAGATACCTAACAATGTTACCATGATGCAGTCCTTTGAGTCATACTTTCATGGGCCTGGGATTCACAGCCTGAATATTTGATGTTTTCTGGCCTGCTGACTATGCTCTCTTCTAATGAGTAGAAGAAATCTTCCAAATAAAAAGCTGTGCGGAAGCAAACCCTCCATATCTCTGTTTACTACTTTTGCAGTTGCTGATAATGCAGATTCTGACAGCTCAGACTCAGTTTGAGGGAGAGCCTCCTCCTCTCCCTGGCTGCCACCACAGCCTTCTGAAGAAGTGTGCAAAGGGACCTCATGCTCCAAGCATGGACAAGTCACGCTCAGTCTCAAGGTCAGTAAAATGCGAGCTCCATGAGAGTGGGACTGCAGCTGTCCTGCTCATTAATGGCTCCTGGCAGCTGGCACAGCCTTCTTACACAGCCAGTCATAACTTACATCTGATATGCGAACAGTTCTGACCACACTTGAGTGTTCCTTCCAAAGCTCAGTCAGGAGCGAGGCCACCCAGTGCCAGCACGGGCAAAGCACAATGCTTTGTGCTAGCATAGCTCTGTCCTAGCAGCTCTGTCTGGGAAAGGATGGTGGCAAAGTGCACCAAGCTTCTGCAGAACATTGCATGTGGGGTAAATCTGGAATCTTCTGCATGGGCCCCTTTTATATGGTCACTGCAAAAAGCAAATGTTAAGCTTATTCAACTACACTTTATGTCTCTGATGCTATTTCATATTGAAGTGGTGACCATATTCTACTTTGTCTTTTGGAATATATTGAAACTTACGTAATTATGAAATGCACTGCTTAATTCACTGATGGTCATTGTTGGTCCTGTAGAGAGACCTCTAACTAGGTGAATTTAAGCGATTCTAGAGGCAGGGAGTATCTAAACCCAGGGAGGGAAACCCAGTTAGTAGCTATTCTCTTTCTTCTTAGTTTTTGTTTCTAAACTTTTTGTAATTTTGAGACAGGATTTTACTATGTAGTTTAGGCTGACCTTGAACTCACTATGTAGCCTATGCTGGTCTCAAATTTGCAACAAACATGCTTGATCAACCTCCCAAGTCCTGGGATGACCCATATGTGTCACCAAGTTCCACCTCTCTTTTTTTCAAATGAACAAACAAAACAAACAACCAAGTGCTATAACTGAATAACCTTTAGAAATGCAAACAGAAGCAACTGTTTCAAGCATCATCTTGGAATCAGCAAATTCTAATCTTAACTCATTTATACTTGCTTTCAGACATATGCTAACTCTTCTGAGCCCCCGAATACCGTGCCCCTGGGAAAAGCTGAAGAACTACAAGTCCCCTGGTACTGCACTGTGCCCACCAAAGACCCAAGAGGGCAGAGGGATGCTGGGAATTTAACCAAGTCATCTGACTCAGACACTGTAAAACATGGGGCAGAGCTTTCTGTGTAGTGAAGAGTTAGGCAGCTGAAATTCAATCTCTGTGAAGTGATAAGCCTTAATTTCTGAGAACCCCATTACTAAGATCTTTAACTCAACACAGTAGGGCAGTACTTAGTCAAATAACAATATAAAGACATAGAGGGAAAGGCCCCGTGCCAACTTTCAGGTTTAGAAGTGTATTTCATGATTTTTTTCAGCAGTACATTTTAGAACAAAACTAACCCAGCAACGAACTACATGTACATAAACTCAGGAGTTGCCTAAACCAGGGGACTTTGTATAAAAGATTCTATTCATAAATAAAACAACCTTCGTTCAAAGTAATTTCCATGATCCCATATGGGAAATGTTCAAAATTATCCATGAGATGTAATCTTTAATCCTGTGATTTATTTGATTACATTCTTCAAGTCATTAATGATACTATGAATAAATTAAGGTGTGAAAAACACCTACTAAAGCAGGTCACACAAGTTTACATCCTCAATTGCTTTTTGTTGCTACAGAGTGAAGAAATATTATAGAAAGACTCCAACCTTATCCAGCTTCCCTCCTCATCTTCCTGATGTTAGGTTGTTAGGAATGTAAAAGAACATAACTATTAGTATTAGTGAACTTTAGTAGTGTAAGCAAATTAATTCTGCAGGGAACATGCACCTTGACTGAGTGAAAAACATTCAAAATATCAATGCCTCATGCAAAAACTCATGAAAATCCAAGAATTTCAATTTTCCATGCAAGGAGCAGACTTTTTCCATGCCAACTAACCTCATACAGTAGACTGTTGGCGTTAGACAACCACAACGCAGTGCTCAATGGAGGTCTCTCCAAAAGGAGAAGCAAATTACATCTTCTCTAAATGGGGCAAATCTATAAACTAAATTCTTGTAAAAATCTAAAAAATGCAAATACGACTATACGCTATGAGCTAATAACCTAAAAAGAACACATTATATTTGAAACAAATGCAAATTAACTTTTGTTTTCAACAAAAGACAAAGGGCCCTTTGGTCTGGAGTAGGAAACCCACTTTGGAACATGAGCTGCAGGGCTGACTGACCATCTGAGATGTGGCTGCGAGTGTTTCCATCTCTTCATGTGTTAACCAGACATTTCCTGTGGTCTAAGGTGACCCCAGTGCACCAGCCACATCCAGGGCAAGGGAAGCGTGACAGAAAGGAGAAGGACGCACATATGAGCCACAGGCACAGTAAGGAGCCACGAGGCAAAGGTCACTCTTTGCACATTTTCATTTCAGGCACCCACAGAGAAAGCCAGAGATCATTAACACAGGCTCATCCTCTTTTAAACAATAACAGTGTGGTCGGAATATAAGGAGAACAGCACACAATTTCCAGATCACATGCTTAAAAGTATGGATGAGAACATACTTTATATTTCTGAAAAGTTACTTTCCCCAGTAACTGATGATTCAATAGACAGTATTTTCAATAGTCTCACCATGTTGGAGGTATAGCTCATGATAGGGTTTTTGCCTGCCTCTCCCAAAGCACTAGGTTTAAGCCTCAGTACAGCAAAACAAAAGAATAAAACAAAACACACAGAAAGCAGTCTCACCCCAACACAGGCTAACAACAGGATGCTCTGGCCTTGGCTTCCTGTGGCTGCTTTCAGCAGATGATCCAAAGCCAGAGGAAGCCCAGGAGGCCAGGGCACAAGATAGTGAGCACAGGAGAGCCAAACAATGCAAACACCAAAAACAAAGCACTTGTCACCATCTGAGTCAAACCTGAGACTGATGGCCACTCTGCTAGCCCACTGTAAGCTCCCCAAGAACAGCAATTTCTGTGTTTGTAACTGGTGATATGGAGAGTCTTTCTGATGTGAGGTCTAGTCCTTGCCAATAGTTCAACTGAATCACAGAAGCTCCCTTTTGAAAGAGGGTTCTTAAAAGCTTTGAAAAAGCCATGCAGCATCTTCATTTCTACAAAGCCCACATTAATGTGGAAATAGCTGCAGAACAGACTGATACTGGTTACAAAACATTCCACCAAGGGAAAGTGTTCTTTGGCCATACGTTAAAAAAAAAAAAAAAAAAGGCTTATTGTTCATTTTCATAATTCTCTAACAACAAAATCTTCACACTTTTTTGTGTATAAAGTTACTGTAGGCAGACCTTGCTCTGCTGCTCAGAAGGATGTCTACACAGCTCTAAGAGTTTGTTGAACATCTAAATGAAAAACCCCTGAACTTTGCAACTTAAGAGCTGGCCTGCTCTTCCCTTCTAATAACCACCAATGTTTCATCAGAAGAGTCACCAGGAAGCTCTTTGAGGGCTCTTCACTACTCCCCAAGTGGACAGCATCTTTGTGAGCACAGGCATGGTTGGACAGACACATGCAGCTCCCAAGACCCAGAGCACCTGCTGGTGCCGTGACACACAACCACAGTGCATCTAGGAAACTCAGCATTTTTCCTCCTTTAGTTCTTGTAGGGAAAAAAAGACATCCACAAAGAAGAGAAGCTTAGAACTGTCCAGGAACCAGTGGATTTCTGGGAGGTGACCACCCCTTGTTAGCGTGTCAACTGTATGTCAGTGGCACCTCTGGACTGCCACAAATTACAGTTACTCTGTAAGTCCCGCCTATATGTGCAGTGATGCAGATGCACTCACACGCACAAGACTGAAGGAAAGAAGCCACACACAACAAAGTAAGGGCAGCCCAACCTAGTTTATAGCCAAGGGGCCGAGGCCAGGTGCTTATTTATGCCCGGGGATTGTATGCAAGGGTTTATACATTCCTGGGCTTATCTGTATATTTTGCTACCTGTATACTTGAAGAAAAACAATATTTTCCGCATAAAATTTGCTTAGCAAGTACCTTTATATACCGTACAAGTACTAATTATTGCTTGAACTATGAAATAGAAATCAAAGTTCAAGGATGAAATGCTACTTAAAATGTTAACTTTTCCTTCCTCAAGAGGTCCTTACACTTACTCAGTTTTGATAAATTCATACGTACATTTGTGACACTCAATTTTCTACCTTTCAAAAAGCCTTCTTTCTTAAAGAAGGCCTTTCTAACCAAGTTTTATTCATTTATTTAATTATTTATTTTTTGGTCTTTTCTGAAACGGGATCTCATTACTCAGTTCAAGCTGCTCACACTGTAACCCACTGGCCTAGAACTCACAGTGATCCTCCCACCTCAGCCTTCTGAGTGCTGGAACTACAGGCATGTGCCACCACGCCTGGCTTTAACCACACTTTTACACAAGCAGTTCACACATTTTCTTTGGATCACTCAACCCCTCCAAGTTAGGGGTTGTACTATGCTTTCCTGAAATTTTAAGTTGAAACCACCCTGTATGATTAGGAAGCAGCACGGAAACATTAGCAGGCTACTGCTTTTGTGGGCTCTGCCTTCCTCCTCCACAGAGGGCACACAGAGCCTCTGTGAACATACCTTTTTCAATGTGGGTGGAGCCGAAGGGCTGGTGAGCCACAGGGTTTCCTGGATGGCCAGCCGCAGCTTCAGTCTGTGCAGAGGGTGGCTGATGCCAATCTCTTGCTGGATCTGTCTGTCTGACAGAGCTGACATGATGGCCCCACTTTTCACATTTGCTCTGCAGGCAGCCACATAGCAAGCAGGCATCCCAACCCAGAGCTAGAAAGAAGAATGAAAAGACCAGAACATCAGGTAGAGACAGGAGATGCACGACAAGCTTGTGTCATGTAGCATAGGTCTCTGTAGTAAAGGGATGTACCTCCAGCCATTCAACCACGGTTGGCCCGTCCCACTGTGAAAATGGTAAGCCTTGCCTCTGGGCTTCCTCCAGCAACTCAGGCCTGTGAAAAAGAAGACATTCAAATTAAAGAAGCACTGTTACACATCCAACAAGTTAATGGAACAGTCTCTGAGCATTTTCAAAAGTATAACACATATTCTCAGTTCCTTTTATCTTCTACAGTTTTAATGTTATTAACATCATCCTTGTAATGACAGTCACACACATACTATGGAGAATGCCTGAGTAAATAAAAAATGCTACAGAGTTCTCTTGATTCCCAGTCAAATCACCATTACTTCAGAGAATTGAAGAATTACTACCAACTTATAAAACTCAAGCAGAATTTTCATATCCAAGGTAGTAAGACAATTAGGGGAAAACATGAAACCCTACTTCAACAATGAAGAAACAGTATCTAGGAAGAGGAAACCACACCTCAGTTGAGACATCAGTGCCTAATTTTGTGAGAGACTTTAAAAAACAGTATTTTTGGGGGGTGGTTGTGGTTTGGGGAATGTTGAGACAAAGTCTTGCTATGTATGTAGTCCAGGTTGGCCTCAAACTCTGTGTAACCAGTCTCCCCCAGTGCTTGGATTATAGATGTGTTTCATACTCCCAGCTGTAATGCAGACTTTTAACCACAAAAAGATTATCGTCTAATACAGCAAACAAGTAACAGAGGACAGTTTCTATTGTACACTGCTCTTTAAGTAAACGGGTACTTGCTAAGTCACTGGGTCATTCTGTGGTTTTAACCCATTGATCTCTTCTTTAGCCAGCCATTCAACACCTCCTTCAATGCCGAATGTATCACCAGCACAGAAACTCATGCAATACCAAGGCAGTACTGCAGGGAAGTGGGTAGGTGAGTCTTGCATGCACTCCGTAATGTGATTTGAGGTTTCATATATGCTTTATTTCTAAAGACTCAAGTCACACTTTTACTATACTAACATCTCTAAAAGTGATTTGTGTAACACAGTTATGTGAAACAGTAACATTGTAAGCATGGTAAGTCTGACATTAGAACACAAAGGACAAGTATGTTTCAGATACACAAAAACCCTAGTCAGTCTCAGTCAATCAGTCTCTCTTCCCCTTTTCTTTCTTTTGGAAACTTATGTTCCTAAGTAAAATGTTTCATATACAATTTCAACTAAGAGTTCCTTAAGTTACCGCTAAGCTTACAGGAACAATCACCAGGGAGTAACTGTACCAGAGAAGGCAGCAAATGTGTTATCTCAGATGAAACAAGAAAAAAACAAAAAGAAGAAGAAGAACAACAACAACAACAACAATTTTCTAGTTGAAACAAGCAAAGCTATTCACAGAGAAACAGATCAGCAGAAGTGTGCTCCTAAGTACAAGAAGTAGTAGGCTACTGTCATGGTTTATGTCTGTGGCCCCCAGGCCTCATGCATTTTCATTGTGCATTTGTGATGGTTCATTGTCTAGTGCTTGGATTCATGGTGTCAGTGTTACACCCACATAAGAGTGGAGCCAGGATATGATGTAATGGTAGGAAGAAAGTGTATCTTGCTCTTTGCCTGTTCCTACTTGCTGTTTGCAGCCACCATGAACTGTGACCCAGCCATGCCCACCTGCCTTGGAGCCAACTGAGTGTGGACTGAAACCTCCCAAAACTGTAAGAAATAACCTTTTCCTTTCCAAACTTGGGCTTCAGGTATTTTGTCTCAGCAATGAGTAAAAAGTAACTAAGACAGAATTTGGTACCGAAGAATGGGGTTGTTTGCTGTGACTATACCTTACCATGTTTTTCAAGAAATGGCTTTGGAAATGGCTTGTGGGCAGAGTTTGGAAAGGTTTGGATGTGTTGCCTGGATGCATAGAGCTAGAGCAGCTTAGGCAGTTCTGTAGAGGAGATAGTGGTCACAGCTCAGGAGACCAGAAGGCTGATAGGAAGCCTGATGGTAAAGACCAGGCCTGGGAGATTTCTGCTGGGAAGAAGGACTGCAGTGATTGTTGGACTCCCCATGATGTGAGTTATGGGTTGGCAGAAAGTTGTCTACATTTTGCTCATGTCCAGAGACTTTGCCTGAGACTGAAACAAAGGGCAATGGACTGATTAATCTTGAAAAAGAAATTAAAAAGCAATCAAATGTTGAGTCTGTGGCATGGCTACTGTAGAGGGCTTTTAGCCAGCTTTATGTTGCAAATCAAGAGGAAAGAGCCCAGCGGGATAATTTGCAATACTGTGAGTTTGGCCAGAAAGAATATTTCAGGAAGGCTGTGGATTGTAAAGACAGTGGAGATTCTGATGGCTGAGGGAAAACAGAGAAATAAGAAAGATGGGCCGGGGGCATCCCAGGAAGCAGGTCCCCACCCTGTGCAGCCTCACTGCAAAGGTAAAAGAATTTTTTCAGAGGAGAAAGCTGCAGAGCACCAGGTTCCAGAATGGCGACAGAGACCACATGAGTTTCCAGAATGGTGACAGGCCACATGAGGTTCCAGAATGGTGGCAACATAGAGAAGCTTTTCCTCACAATCAGTTAAACAGAGCCCTGTGATCCAGGCAACTGACCCCTACAGCCAAGAGAGAGAAAAGCCTGAGTACTGCTCTAGCTAGCAGCAAACCTTGGCAACATCCACATGGTGCTGATCTTAGGTGCTAGGAAAATGCACAAATTCTGAGGGTAAGATGGCTTCTACCTCTATTGCAAAGGGCCTGGGAGGCCAAGCTGTGTGCCCCTGAGAGGGCAATTTGTGAAGACATAAAGGTGAAGCCAAAGGTGCAGTGGAGACCCCAAAAGTTTGGAAAAGCCAGAAACATGGACGATCCAAGGAAAGCTCCAAAAAGCAAGCAGAGAGGATTTAAGAGAAAAGCTGCAGGAGGTGAAATCCCTGGAAGTGCCTTGGGGGTGGAATCACACAAGCCTTTTGGAGCTTGTAACCATATTGCTTCAGATGCAGAGCAAGGAACTCTAGGACTTAATGTTCATCCTGCTGGATGTTGGATTTGCTTTGTTTCCAATGCTTTATATTCCCCTGTTTGTAACTTTTGGAATAGTAATGTTTATTTTGTGCCTTTGCATTTGAGAAATGTTTAAACTTGTTTCATTTGTACAGGGGTTACAGTTAAGAGTTTGCCATAGATCATGGAGGAGACATGGGACTTGGACTGTTCAGCAATGCTGAAACTTAAGACTTTGGAAACTCTTGGTGGTGGACTAAATGTCTTTTGTATAAAGGATGTACAAGAGTCCTGGGGGCCAGGGGAGGAATGTCATGGTTTATGTGTGTGGGCCCCCAGGCTTCATGTATTTGTATTGTGCATTTGTGATGGTTCATTGTTAGTGCTTGGATTGATGGTGTCAGTGCTATACCCACAGAGGGGTGGAGCCAGGATGTAATGTAATGGCAGGGAGAAGGTGTGTCTTGCTCTTTGCCTGTTCCTGCTTGCTGTTTGCAGCCACCATGAACTGTGGCCCAGCCATGCCCTGGAGCCAACTGAGTGTGTGAAACCTCCAAAAACTGTAAGAAATAAACCTTTCCTTTCCCAACTTGGCCTTTAGATATTTTGTCTCAGCAATGAGTAAAAAGTAACTAAGACAGCTACCAAACCTGGCTACAGAGCTGCTATGACTCATTTAAGGAAACAAGAAACACACACACACACACACACACACACACACACACACACACACAGAGAGAGAGAGAGAAAGAGAGAGTGTGTGACAAACATACAGAGAGACAGACAGACAGACAGACAGACAGACTGACCCCAAGAAGCAGTGTAAATCCATTTCTGGGTAAAGATCTGAAATTCTGTAATATTAAGTGAGGGTCTGTCCTGGATGCTCTGGCCAGGCCAGGGAAGAGGAAGACTACTGCTGTAGGTCAGAAGCACTTCTAGATTATGTGCCTATTCAAATAGACTAAGTAAGAACTATGTCCTCAGTAGTCTAAAAATGATTTTGTTGGTGTTTTCATTATTTTTGATGGTACTGGGGATGGAACCAAGCACTCATTGAACTAAACCGCCAGCCATTTGTACTATACTTTTTATCTTGAGACAGTTTCTTAAGTTGCCTAGAACAATGGCATTGTCATCATAAATGACCCTCCTGCCTGGACCTCCCAGGTAGCTCGGATGATTAAAGGTACATACCACTGCACAGCTGTAATTTGTGAAAGTACATACCAGACATGTACTGCAAACAAGAACAAGGCCCACTACCTGAAGCTTGGTATAAACTGCTGTTGCCTTTACATCCTTCCTCCTCCTTACACCTGCATCCAGATGCAGCAGTGGGAGTGGTGTGAAGGTAGCAGAAGTAGGATGATGCATTCAAAAGTCATGTGACGTTAGGAAATAACACAGAAGACCCTGGCTGGGGAGTTGGCCCAAGTTCCACCTACAGGTAGCTACACCTCCCCTACCAGGTAGTTTGTGGACTACGAGATTGGGCACCTAACCTTGGTTAACACGATAGGTGGGCACATTAGAGTCCAGTTTTCTTGAGAGTTGTTCCCAAAAGTGTACAGAAGGATCCTGTGTTAAGATGCAGAATCTGGAGCCTGCAGACACTTCTGCGCACCTCTACTCTGGCTCTTTGCAATGTTTGGTGATATGCACAACTACCTTCCTTTTACACTGGGTATTGAAACTGGATCTCTTTTGCTTGCTACTGCACATACTTAGTACAGACACCCATTTGTCCAAATCTGTGACCTCCAAGAACTAAATGGCTTCACAGTGTTTACTCACCTACCTGACTATCCACTTAGGTAAGGTTATCCGTCTACCCATATGATTAGTTTGGAATAGGAGAACCACCTATTTCCTCCCCCTCTACTAAAGCTGCAAACACTTAAGCTTTAGCAACATTCATTCTTTTCTTGCTCAACTTCCCAAATAATAACTCTTCCAGCTCTGAGCCCCAAAGCTTCAAGCAAGGTAATCAAGCTGGGTATGGTGGCATCATCTATAATCCAGCATGTGGGAGATGAAGGCAAGAGGATTACCATGAATTCAAGGCTAGTCTGGACTACATACGGAGCCCCCAGGGGAAAAAAAGGAAAAATTTAAAAAGAGCAAATAAAAACATAGTAACCAGTGGGGGGGGCATACTCTGCAGAATGTCCATCATCTGTCCACACTGAATAGCCACCAAGGGCATCTGAATAATATGTCAGTAATCCTAGATGTTGATGTGTCATATCCATCAACTCCAGAAGAAAACCCCTTTGGTTTCTTCTGATATTTGCTTGCTCCTGGGCTGTGAGATATCATATCCCAATAGATGTGACAGGCAGGCCAAGCTGGGGCCCTTTGCAGAAGGTGGCTGGGCACTAGATTGCTCTGTTCCTGACATTGTCAGAGCTTCTTTTCTTCAGCTTATAGCTTCTCCCATAGAACCAAACACTAGACACCAGGGTTGATTTTTATAATATCTGCTCTAATGCCAGGATGATGGTACACACCTGTAATCCCAGCACTTTGGAAGCTGAGGCAGGAGAATTGCTATGAGCTGAAAGTCAGCCTGGGTTACATAATGATTTCAAGTCCAACCTGAACAACACAGTGAGACCCTTTTTTAAAAAAAGAAAAGGAGGCCAGGAATTTAGCTCAGCAGCATAGCACCTGCCTGGCAAGTGCAAGGGCATGAGTTTGATCCCCAGTACCAAAAAAGGAAAAGAAACCAAACACACACACACACACACACACACACACACAAACACAGAGTATCTGCTCTAATGCAAACTGATATGGGAACCTTCCTGCCTTTAAATTAGAGACTGGGGGCTGAGTGTAGCTCATTAGTAAAGCACTTGCCCAGCCTTCACAAGGTGCTATGTTTGATCTGCAGCACCAACATGTATATACATGCACACATACATACATACATACATACATACTGTTGGAGGAGGCAGCTATTTTAGATTCTGTCATACTAATGATGGAGCTCAGGGCTTTAGCATACTAGGAAAGTGTTCTACAGCTATGCTGTATTCTCTTGGACCAAAATACACTAAATTCTCTGGGGAACAAATGCGTAAAATAAAAGTTACGTGAAGGCCAGGGATTTAGCTCAGCAGCTTAAGGGCCTGCCTGGCAAGTGTGAGGTTGTGAGTTTGATCCCTGGTACAAAAAATGTCATGTAATCTATGAATTATGATATATTTTATAATGTAGGCAAAAGCACAATGGTAAAGCTGCCCTTCATTTCAAGAAGCTTGTGCGAGTTTCTGCAGAATAAACATTATCTAAGTGACATATAGCAAGAACTTTAACTCTCCATAGTAAATACATGACTGTATTTCCAAGAGATGGGACACTTTTCAACTTCAGGGGTCTTGCACAAGGGCTAAGGAGACCCTTTCTCATGGCTGCAGCTCAGGCTCACATTTCACATGCTAGTCACACTGTGAGGAAGAGTACTGGGGACCAGTGTGTTGTTTTGACAAGTGAGGAATGGAAGCAACTTTTCTCACCAAACAGAAATATACTCTTGGGAAGTTTAGCAGAGAACCCAAAGCTGGTAACACCAGCACTCCACACTATATGATTCAGAGTACCACTGAGTATGGCTCCATGTGTAACCAACTTCCCACAGCAAATGCACCACAATGCCACGCAACCGGAAGGAGAGCACTACAAAGACAAAGGTGAGTTGGAGATCCATGTTTTGAAACTTCACACAGCATTCTATGAGCTGATGAACGGACTCCAGTCTGAGTCATGCTGATAGTTGCATTGACTACTGAGCACCTCAAGTGTCAGCAGAGCATCAAATTCTTCCAGTAATTCTCAGAGAGCATGAGTTCAGCTGGTCAATATGTGCACTGAGTCCTGGGAACCCTCCTTCAGTCAATGTGATAGGCTAGTGGTTCAGCGGCAAGGAGCATGGCCTACAGCCAAGTTAGGGCTCATCACAAGAAGTACTGTATTTCTGAGAAAGTACCAAAGTGTTGAACTGTACTCTGTATTCACAGAACAGTTTTTTATTACATCAAGAATGCTCAAAGTAGCTGGATGTGGTTGTGCATGCCTGTAATTCCAGCACTTGAGAGGCTGAGGCAGGAGGATCATTGTGAGTTTGAGGTCAGCCTGAGCTACAAAGTGAGCTCAAAGCCAGCCTGAACTGCATAGTGAGACCTGTCTCAGAAAAACAAAAACAAAACAAAAAAAAAAACAAAAAAACAAAACAAAACAAAACAATAATGCTCAAAGTATTAAACTGTACCCTGTATTCACAAAATACTTTTTTTCTTCAAATCAATTACAATTCAGGTTATCTGACAGATATCACAAAACTGCCCACCATAGTCAGATGACTACTTTAGAATTTTCCCTATGAACTTTCTACTATGGTTGAGAAATCACATATGCATCCCACATAGAACTATAAAGTACAGAGCAAAGACCCATTCTTAGACACCTTGAAACAGCCACAACAGATGTTTGGAGTAAGCAGCATAAACTTGAATCTCCTTGCTACCGAGAAATCTCCCTCCCTACCACCACACACACACACACACACACACACACACACACACACACACACACCTGTAAACATGCATGCCTGGTGTGCAATTTAATCATGTGTTTGGGCAAATAATTCAAAGCCTGTCCTGAGGGTGCACACACACTTCTTGAGAGTTAGAAAGTCAATTTTTACAACAGGGAAACATTTTGGTTTTCTGTTTTTTGCTTTTATTGTGGTACTGGGGATTGAACCTAAGGCCTTAATGCATGCTAAGAGTACTACACTACCAAGCCACATCCCCAGCAAAATAGCCAAACATATTAGGAAAATTATTTCTTCTCTTCCATGAAACATAAACTTCAGAAGGCAATGGGGTGAATGATCAAGCTGTGCTGCTGTTGTTTTTATTACATTGAAATGAGCACGTGAAATAAAAGGCACTGGCAAAATCTAGGCAACACTATTTCTTTAGCATGGTTTCGAGAGGGAAAATGACTAGCTTTAATATTAAGCTCCACAAAGCCAACTGCTCATTGCTTAAATTATTATAAAAGACTTTTACACAGTTCAGATTTTGTGGTTAAATGGTACTATAAAATTCTATTTACAGAGCACCAAAGATTGAGTATTTGTATAGAATGTTTCCATAACAGAATTTCACCTGCAATGGCATGTCATCACTGTTGAGCTGCTTAAAACAGTTACTATGGCCAAGTGCGGTAGCACATGCCTGTAATCCCACCACTTGGGCAACTAAATCAGGAGGACTGCTGTGAGTTCAGTCCAGCCTGAATTACAAAGTATGATTCTTGTCTCAAAAAATAAATGAATAAAATAAAAAACAAAAGACTCATTATAATATGAAAAACTTCATATATAAGTTAGCTATGAAATAAAAGACAGACAATAGAAGAAAAAAGTTATTGTAACTCAGCATGGAAAATATATCTAAAGGAATACTTCGACTTAGTACAATTGTGTTCCATCTTTTATATGTGTTTTGGCTTATAGTCTGGTATGTTTGATATATATATATATATATATATATATATATAATATATATATTGATATTGATATATATATCTTATATATATATATATATTTCTTTTTAATAGTCTTATTTTTAATCTGTATACATGACAAGGGTTTATAAGAGAAATGCATGAATGGGATTCTGGCAAAATACAAGGATGGTGGAAAATAAAGAATAGAAATGTGTCATGGACATGTATCAACTCCCAAGAACCAACATGATTATTATGTACTGCAAACACATACCAATAGAAGTTTAAAAAAAAAAGGCAGTCATGAATTCAGAGAAGACAACTAAAATGAGTGAGATTTCATAACTTTCCAGCAGAAAGGGTTCCTAGGGATTCGAGTGCAACACTAGTGTCAGGGCCTTTGCACTCTGAGTTCCACACAGTACTGGCTTCACTGAGAAGTGGACACCTGATGTTTCCCATATACAAATTTATCCAAGAACCCACCAACTTTCACCTTTTCTCAAGACCAGTGTGCCCATCTTACCTTAGGCTTTCAAACTTTCCCTACTGTCAAGTTCAAATTGTACCTCTTAGACATTACATACTGTCTGATTTTGTTGCAGAAAGCTTTTTGATTGATATTTTATTAATCATCTCACTAGGAAAATGTCTCAACCTATCTAGTTCACTTATAACTCTAGTTTTGGGTGTGATCAGCTTACACAACCAATCCTACATCAGAGAAGTGTACATACTTCCCTGATATGTTGGTGCCTGTGCTCCCCTATGCAAAATCATTCGGAACATATATTATTTTCAGAATCTATCTTTATGTGGGCCTAGGGATGGTATGTCAAGCCAGTACGCTCTCACTTATACTCCACTCCTCAGCCCCTTAAGATTTAGTAGAGGATTATAGTTCAATAATACACTGTAAAGTAGAGATCCAATCTCAGATAAAATGTAAAATTATATCACGGTAAATGCTTCTGGAGGACCACTTGTGTAAACAATAGAAGTCACCACAGTGACCTTAATTATAGCTTATTTAGGACTTGTGTCCATGTTTTAAAACATATACATGCACATATATAATTCTATCAAACTGAGAAAAAGCCACACGATGCATGAACAACTGTAACAGTCATTTGACAGTTGAGAAAACTGAAGCCTAAGCTAAATAATGTTGTCAGACAGCTAACTAGAGAATTAACCAGGATTCAGCGGCCAAAGCTCAAATGGCCAAGCCTAACTATTACCCATTCTATCATCTAGAGAGACAACTCTGCAAAGGAAGACTGAGAATACACATGTGAGTTCAGTCAAAGTTTCCAAATGTCCTCTGTTCTCCAGACATGATGGCTTAAAACAGGCTTTAGGTCAATGGAGGCAAACCTATGGCATGCATGTTGCAGCAAGCTCTTTGTACCACTGAAAGCTCTATCACTGCTTTAGGTTCATCTTTCAAAAGACAATGTATTTACAATAGCTAGAAATTACACTTAAAATCAGCTAAGAATGATGGTTAACTCAGAAAACTGTTTCATGAGATGGAGAAATAACAAAAAGCTTACTTTTTTTGAAGTTGAGGATTTTTTTCATCCTTTCCTCCCAATTTGCTAAGTTGGAAGGCATCCTGAGATGAGTTTTCCGTTTCAGAAACAACGGCTACAAAAGAGAAGAAAATTCCCCAAATTTAGAGTAAATTAACAGGGCAAAGTTTCATGTTTCACAAATAGGAAGAAGATTCTGCAGGTAGAGAGCTGAATAATTTCTGAAGGGTAAGCTTCCGAGCAAACACATATACATGTTCAAGCGTATAAATTAGCACATAAGAGGGTTATTCATTCACGCCAAATGAATGTCCACTGCTCTGCTCTGGTTCACATGTGGGCAGACTGGGCTGTCAGAAGAACGCTCAGCCATGACTCCTCGTGGGCACTGGACACCTGCAGCAGGCACATAGGAAAAATCTCACGCTCTCCCAATCCCAGCAGTTAGGACAGCTGCCTAAAACCGGCCCACCTTGTCTTGGTGATTCTTTGCCAGTTTGTCCAGGCGGACCCTTTTCCTTTTTGCCAAACAAACAACCAGTGGAGGACTTGATGCCCTTCTTCTTTGGGGCTTTGTGGGGCGAGTCCTGCCTGCTGTCACTGGTACTGGGATTGTTCACAGGACCTTCCTGGGAGCCTGTTGAGCTTCAAAGAAATAAAATGGATTTTTACCACCCTCTTCCCAGATCCACAGTCCATTCACACATACAAGAACAGTCTGCATTTTTAACATTCCTACCTTCAACTTCCTAAAAAACGTTTTGAGTCTCTTACACACAGTACAATATGCATTGTGATGCAGGGTCCCAGTAATGCTTCCACAGACCTGTGTCTGGAAAGCCAAGATTCTGATGTGCTCCCTGCTCAGAGCAGGCCTGTACTCTAGCCTGCCTTGTTTGGACACATAAGGGAACACCCTCTGCAGGGGCCTTGCTCAGGCACTGAGGGATGCACTCAGTCAACAGGAAAGAAAACAAGGTCTCAGAAGCCTGACTGTAATTGTAACTTATTTAGGAATTGTGTCCATGTTATAAAACATATACATGCACATATATAATTCTATTGAACTGAAAAACAGCCACATGATGTATGAACAACTGTAACTGCCATTTGACAGTTGAGAAAACTGAAGCACAGGATAAGTAACTTTGTCAGAGACACACAGCTAACTAGAGAATTAACCAGGATTCAGCGGCCAGAGCTCAAATGGCCAAGCCTAACTATTACCCATTCTATCATCCTGGGAGACAACTCTGAAAAGGTAGACTGAGAATACATGTGTGAATTCAGTCAAGATTTCCAAATGTCCTCTGTTCACCAGACATGATGGCTTAAAACAGGCTTTAGGTCAATGGAGGCAAACCTATGGCGTGCATGCTGCAGCAAGCTCTTTGTATCACTGAAAGCTCTATCACTGCTTTAGGTTCATCTTTCAAAAGACAATGTATTTACATAGCTAGAAATTACACTTACAATCAGCTAAGAATGACTGTTAACTCAGAAAACTGTTTCATGAGATGGAGAAATAACAAAAAGCTTACTGTTTTTGAAGTTGACGATTTTTTTCATCCTTTCCTCCCAGTTTGCTAAGTTGGAAGGCATCCTGAGATGAGTTTGGTGTTTCAGAAACAACAGCTACAAAAAAGAAGAAAAGCCCCCAAATTAAGAGTAAATTAACATGGCAAAGTTATATGTTTCACAAATAGGAAGAAGATTCTGCAGGTAGAGAGCTGAATAATTTCTGAAGGGTAAGCTTCCGAGCAAACACATATAAATGTTCAAGAGTATAAATTAGCATATAAGAGGGTTATTCATTCACGCCAAATGAATGTCCACTGCTCTGCTCTGGTTCACATGTGGGCACACTGGGCTGTCTGGAGAATGCTCAGCCATGACTCCTCGTGGGCACTGGACACTTGCAGCAGGCACATAGGAAAAATCTCAGGCTCTCCCAATCCCAGCAGTTAGGACAGCTGCCTAAAACCGGCCCACCTTGTCTTGGTGATTCTTTGCCAGTTTGTCCAGGCAGAACCTTTTTCTTTTTGCCAAACAAACGACCAGTGGAGGACTTGATGCTCTTCTTCTTTGGGGCTTTGTGGAGCGCATCCTGCCTGCTGTCACTGGTACTGGGATTGTTCACAGGACCTTCCTGGGAGCCTGTTGAGCTTCAAAGAAATAAAATGGATTTTTACCACCCTCTTCCCAGCTCCACAGTCCATTCACACGTACAAGAACAGTCTGCATTTTTAATATTCCTACCTTCAACTTCCTAAAAAACGTTTCGAGTCTCTTACACACAGTACAATATGCATTGTGATGCAGGGTCCCAGTAATGCTTCCACAGACCTGTGTCTGGAAAGCCAAGATTCTGATGTGCTCCCTGCTCAGAGCAGGCCTGTACTCTAGCCTGCCTTGTTTGGACACATAAGGGAACACCCTCTGCAGGGGCCTTGCTCAGGCACTGAGGGATGCACTCAGTCAACAGGAAAGAAAACAAGGTCTCAGAAGCCTGACTGTAATTGTAACTTATTTAGGAATTGTGTCCATGTTATAAAACATATACATGCACATATATAATTCTATTGAACTGAAAAACAGCCACATGATGTACGAACAACTGTAACTGCCATTTGACAGTTGAGAAAACTGAAGCACAGGATAAGTAACTTTGTCAGAGACACACAGCTAACTAGAGAATTAACCAGGATTCAGCGGCCAGAGCTCAAATGGCCAAGCCTAACTATTACCCATTCTATCATCCTGGGAGACAACTCTGAAAAGGTAGACTGAGAATACATGTGTGAATTCAGTCAAGATTTCCAAATGTCCTCTGTTCACCAGACATGATGGCTTAAAACAGGCTTTAGGTCAATGGAGGCAAACCTATGGCGTGCATGCTGCAGCAAGCTCTTTGTATCACTGAAAGCTCTATCACTGCTTTAGGTTCATCTTTCAAAAGACAATGTATTTACATAGCTAGAAATTACACTTACAATCAGCTAAGAATGACTGTTAACTCAGAAAACTGTTTCATGAGATGGAGAAATAACAAAAAGCTTACTGTTTTTGAAGTTGACGATTTTTTTCATCCTTTCCTCCCAATTTGCTAAGTTGGAAGGCATCCTGAGATGAGTTTTCGGCTTCAGAAACAACAGCTACAAAAAAGAAGAAAAGCCCCCAAATTAAGAGTAAATTAACATGGCAAAGTTATATGTTTCACAAATAGGAAGAAGATTCTGCAGGTAGAGAGCTGAATAATTTCTGAAGGGTAAGCTTCCGAGCAAACACATATAAATGTTCAAGAGTATAAATTAGCATATAAGAGGGTTATTCATTCACGCCAAATGAATGTCCACTGCTCTGCTCTGGTTCACATGTGGGCACACTGGGCTGTCTGGAGAATGCTCAGCCATGACTCCTCGTGGGCACTGGACACTTGCAGCAGGCACATAGGAAAAATCTCAGGCTCTCCCAATCCCAGCAGTTAGGACAGCTGCCTAAAACCGGCCCACCTTGTCTTGGTGATTCTTTGCCAGTTTGTCCAGGCAGAACCTTTTTCTTTTTGCCAAACAAACGACCAGTGGAGGACTTGATGCTCTTCTTCTTTGGGGCTTTGTGGAGCGCATCCTGCCTGCTGTCACTGGTACTGGGATTGTTCACAGGACCTTCCTGGGAGCCTGTTGAGCTTCAAAGAAATAAAATGGATTTTTACCACCCTCTTCCCAGCTCCACAGTCCATTCACACGTACAAGAACAGTCTGCATTTTTAATATTCCTACCTTCAACTTCCTAAAAAACGTTTCGAGTCTCTTACACACAGTACAATATGCATTGTGATGCAGGGTCCCAGTAATGCTTCCACAGACCTGTGTCTGGAAAGCCAAGATTCTGATGTGCTCCCTGCTCAGAGCAGGCCTGTACTCTAGCCTGCCTTGTTTGGACACATAAGGGAACACCCTCTGCAGGGGCCTTGCTCAGGCACTGAGGGATGCACTCAGTCAACAGGAAAGAAAACAAGGTCTCAGAAGCCTGACTGTAATTGTAACTTATTTAGGAATTGTGTCCATGTTATAAAACATATACATGCACATATATAATTCTATTGAACTGAAAAACAGCCACATGATGTACGAACAACTGTAACTGCCATTTGACAGTTGAGAAAACTGAAGCACAGGATAAGTAACTTTGTCAGAGACACACAGCTAACTAGAGAATTAACCAGGATTCAGCGGCCAGAGCTCAAATGGCCAAGCCTAACTATTACCCATTCTATCATCCTGGGAGACAACTCTGAAAAGGTAGACTGAGAATACATGTGTGAATTCAGTCAAGATTTCCAAATGTCCTCTGTTCACAAGACATGATGGCTTAAAACAGGCTTTAGGTCAATGGAGGCAAACCTATGGTGTGCATGCTGCAGCAAGCTCTTTGTATCACTGAAAGCTCTATCACTGCTTTAGGTTCATCTTTCAAAAGACAATGTATTTACATAGCTAGAAATTACACTTAAAATCAGCTAAGAATGACTGTTAACTCAGAAAAATGTTTCATGAGATGGAGAAATAACAAAAAGCTTACTGTTTTTGAAGTTGACGATTTTTTTCATCCTTTCCTCCCAATTTGCTAAGTTGGAAGGCATCCTGAGATGAGTTTTCGGCTTCAGAAACAACAGCTACAAAAAAGAAGAAAATTCACCAAATTAAGAGTAAATTAACATGGCAAAGTTATATGTTTCACAAATAGGAAGAAGATTCTGCAGGTAGAGAGCTGAATAATTTCTGAAGGGTAAGCTTCCGAGCAAACACATATAAATGTTCAAGCGTATAAATTAGCATATAAGAGGGTTATTCATTCACGCCAAATGAATGTCCACTGCTCTGCTCTGGTTCACATGTGGGCAGACTGGGCTGTCTGGAGAATGCTCAGCCATGATTCCTTGTGGGCACTGGACACCTGTGGCAGGTACATAGGAAAAAGCGCATGCTCTCCCAATCCCAGCAGTTAGGACAGCTGCCTAAAACCGGCCCACCTTGTCTTGGTGATTCTTTGCCAGTTTGTCCAGGCGGACCCTTTTCCTTTTTGCCAAACAAACGACCAGTGGAGGACTTGATGCTCTTCTTCTTTAGAGCTTTGTGGAGT